GTTCTCAGGAATGTGTTGGGTGAGGTCAAGGTTATTAATGAAGAGGCCAATCTTGTGTTCCTTGTTGGGAGTGAAAATCCACCTCATCCGAAGCGAGGAGGGCAACAATGGGTGCATCCCATCCAAGGAGGGCGGGACAAGTAATGATTGTGAATCCCAAGCTGAAAGTTGAAACTTTCAAGGAAATTAGAAAGCTTCTAATTTTCTAATTTCTCATCTCCCATTCCTCCATTCCAACCACCCCTGCTGAGACCACAGGAGCTGGAAGAAGCAGAAACTAAATGAGATAAGCAGATTCTTGTCAGAGGACTGCTGTGAAGTGAGTGCATGCAGGTGTGTGTGTGTGTGTGTGTGTGTGTGTGTGTCTTGGGGGGAAGTGGGGATGAGGCGGGTGTTAGCATCAATACAATAAAAAGTGGAAATCTAAACTGCATTCAGTTCCAACACATTAGGGTCACTCACTGTTAAATATACTCCATGAAAAAAAAAAAAGTGTTTCTATTTTTTTTTGTTATATACAGTTTAGATTACTAAATTATTACTTTCATATAAATATAGGCTTTGCTTTTTAATCAAATCTTCCCACTTCCTGTCGGAGCAACGCAATCATCTAGTGAAGAGGCGGCCCCTCCGCCACTCTGCCTTCTCCTCACCCCACTCTTCACATTGCTCATCTGCTCCAACCACCTCCACCTTCTTTCAGTTCCTGGAATCAGTCAAGCTGATTCCCAGCTCCGAGCCCTTGTCAGCCTTCACCAGGCCTGCCAAGCTCTGCCTCCAGATCTTTCTGGACAATCAGGTCTCCTCTGAGGTGTCACCTCCTTGGAAAGGCTTTCCTTGTCAATCTGAAGTAGCCTGGGATGTACTCTTTACCCCATAACCTTGTTTTGTTTTGTCTTTTATTATTAAGACATTTTATCTATAATATCTTGCTTTTTTGTTGTTTTGTGGTCTGCCTCCTCCATTTAGAATAGAACTTCCATGAGGAAATGGATTCTGCCTGTCTCGGTCACCATTGTATCGCCAGCATTTCAAACACTTCTGAGCACACAGTATACACCCAAGTACTTGTCTAATAAATGAACGCATGATTTTTAAAAACCTTAGTATTTTCATGCTTAGTATGATGGGAAGTTACATTGAGTAAGTGTTTATTCAGAGGCTGTTGTTACAAAAAGGGTATTACTGCTGTCTCAGAATAACCTGAAAGATTTCATCTAATTCTAAGCAATAAATATTAGGAGAAAGTAAAATATTGAGAATGAAAGGATAGAGCAGGGGTGGGCAACCCCTGGCACACGTGCCAAACATGGCACACCAGCAACTTTTGCTGGCATGCGAAACCCTCTCTTATAATCTTCCATTTACAATTATTTTCTTAATATCAACATTTTTATTTTTCAGATAAATTCAATGTAGGTGCATCTTAGATAAATAAATAATTTTACATAACAAGTTATCTTAAAGACCATAGACATGGATTGATGAGAGAGGGGAAGAGCAATTTCTATGCCTCTGCCTTAACTCTCCCTGCCTTCCTAGATCCAACCATTGTTTTGGTTTCATCCACATACGCTTGTGAATCTTTGGTCTCAGTGATGGATTTTGTTAAGTCTCATAATAGGAGTAGCCTGACGGATGAAAGTAGTAGCTCGTGCATATCTCTGAAGGTCACGAAATATAAACCTGATGTAAAATCTCTGCCATCAGTCATGCAGCAGCAAAAGTCCCACTGATAATATCAAATGGAGTCATAAAGTTTTCTGTCGGACTATCAGTGTACATGTATACATTAAAAAATAAATGTATTTTTCATTATCATATAGTGTGTTTTTGTCGCTCAAATGAATTTTATTATTTCTTCAAGGTTCTTCACATACATACACTTTAAGAGATATCAAGTAGGCGTAACATGTTCTCAAAAAATTAGGGTTGGCACGCAGAAGAATTTTGAGTCAGAGATTTTGCTGATTTTGGCACGCACTCACAAAAAGGTTGCCCACCCCTGGGATAGAGGATGAAACATCCTTAAAAATGAATCTATGTAAATTTTAGTAAGATAATAAATAGATAATAAATAACATAAAAATGTTTATGCTATTTTTATAAGGCTCAGGGAAGTCTGAAAATATAGATATATTTGATAGAATCTGAAACAGTATGGGATTTAATTAGAGCAAATACACAAATAAAATGTCAGATAAATTTTCCATGATATAATTTCTATAAATTGTGAGTAATATTTATGCTGTTTGGCTTGCTATATTAGATCTAGAAAGCAGGCTTAATTAAGAGGTTAAGAGGAAGCAAATTTTAATCTCTTCTTCATAAAAGAAAATATCTAATTAAGAAACTCAGTCTCCATTAAGGTTTCATATTTTCTGTGAAAAGCATTCTCTGTCAGTTCATTGTTTTGTTATTGTTTTGATTTAAAAGGGAGGCGGGAGGGCCCGGCTGGTATGGCTCATTGGTTAAGCATCAACCTGTGAACCATGAGATCACAGTTAGATTCCGGTCAGGGCACATGCCCAGGTTGTGGCTCAATTCCTAGTAGGGGGCATGAAAGAAGCAACCAATCCATGATTCTTTCTCATCATTGATGTTTCTATCTCTCTCTCCCTCTCCCTTCCTCTCTGAAATCAATAAAAAAAAATATTTTTAAAAAATAAATAAATAAAGGGGAGGCGGGAGGAAATATTAAAATCTACAGTCCTAACAAATAATTAAATATTACAAAACTTCTAATGACCTTATGTAAGACATTATATACTAACCATGGCCTTTTGAAATATGAAGACATGTTAATTACATAAGGAATACATAAGTAAACTTAAAAAGCAATCTGCTTCAAAATTCCCTTAAGATGTCCATGTAGAAGTCAAAAATCAAAAGAATTAACAAGGGAACCTCAGACAAATTCCATTGGGGAGGCATGCTACAAAATACCTGGCCTGTACTTTTGAGTATGTCAAGGTCAAGAACACAAAGTAAGGTTGAAGAATGACTCCATCTTGGGAGTAAGAAGACAAGCGATCCTTAAATTGATGTTGAAACAGGGGGGGAATAGCTTGGATAGAAATTACTATGACAACTAATGATATTTGACCTTGCTCTAAGAACTAATGGTAGTAATGGTATCGTTAAATTTCCTGTTTTAAAATTTCACTGTGATTTTGTAGGGAAATGTCCTCATTCTTAAGAAAGAAACATAAACTAACAATAAACAGGAAAAAAGAATGGATAGATAGGTTGGTGGATGGAACTAACGAAAGGCTTCTAGGGCTGTCAAGTGAAACAGAAACTTCTCAAGTGTCAGTAACTAGAATAATAAGCAATTGGTAAGTTATAAGCAGGTGTGTCAGACAGAAGCATATACGAAATACACCAATAAAAACTGCAACATCTGCTGTTTAAGTTCTACCAATATATGACTACTTCAATAAATAAGATGACTAAAAATTGAAATTTAAATGTAAAGATTTTCTTAAATTAAAAGGCTTTGTAAATTGACTGTATTCTTTATCAACATATGGCATTTTAGAAATACACTATGGTATCATTTAAATATTAAGTTAAAATTAAGTTAAAATTAAGTTAAAATATTAAATTAAAAAACTAAATAGAGGACTTAAACCATAAAATATTCTACAGAAATCAAATTTCCGGTATAGATTGATGAGTTCAATGTTTACTCACTGTTCTTAAAAATCTTAATGTTTAAACTGAAGTCATTACTATAATAGAATGCTAGAAAATGACAAACAGCTTCAAGGTGGTTATTTTATGATTCATGCTTTAAAGAGAAAGAAACGCTTATAGAGATTATGTATATTGCCCAATTTTCAAAGAGGTGTTATTTGGCAGGTGTAGAAAGATTGCAATGCCTTCTTCACCTTGTTCCTTGGACAAAGCTTTCTACCAAGGTGAGAGATATTTGATTATGTAGTTTCCCACCTGGCTTTGAAGTTTGAATGTTTCCATGTTACTGCCTATGTTATTTTCTATAGTACTATAGTTTATACATAATAACTAGCATTTTAAGATTGTTAAAACAATATTGGTTAAAATATTGAGAGCTAAAATATGTCTTTCTTTCTCATTACTTGTAGTAAGGGTACAACACAACTGGAATACAATACATATACTAGTATATACATACATATATGTATACAATTACGTGGATAGTATATTATTCCTCTCAGACACCTTTCAGGTTCCAAACGCTCAGGCCCCGAACAAAGTACTCTAATTATTGTTTCATTCCTTTTGACAATTTTACTCTCCTTAGAGAATAGAAAATTGGGGTATACCAATGCTACATTGCGTCTTAACAAATAACACACAGCATGTAGCTTATCCCAAAGCAGAAAAAGAAGAAAAAATATGCTTCAATTTTTTTTTTTGGTCAAGGTTCATCTGGGGAAATCGACTGACCCATTTTGACATTAAAGTGCTGCTTTAGCACATGTGCCCGCGCACGCATGCACATACACACACACACACACACACACACACACACACACACACACACAGGAATTTCCCATTGAGGTTGCACATAGCAGCATATCAAAGCTCTGTCAGTGACACCCTGAATCACCATCCCCAAGGCAAGAATGTGCATGCTGAGTTCAGGCTGCTCACTAATTATGCAGAATTTACTTTAACCTTAAGTCTTTAAAGAAAAATTATGATTATAGAAAATCCAAGACTGTAATAAAAACAGAACATCATAATCATTTCTAAGGAGTCATCTCAGTTGCGGTTTTGGGGTTTTTTTGCAGTGAGTATTCCTGAGTTAATATTACATCTGCAATCATCACCACAGTAAATCTTCATATTAAAAGTATCAATTTAATATTACAAAGAAATTAAGAGGCAAGACATCATTTTCAACATTGTGAGCTGAGAAATTTAACCCAATTTGTGACAAGCATTGTGCATATAACATAGTGCCATTACGAAATAAAGAAACGTGATGGTATATCTCTGTTTTTACTCACCAGTTGTTTCCACAATGCCTTCTAGGATGACGACAATCTCGAACTGTTCAGTTTGCATGCTTCGCTGGGATAGGTCATAAAAGGGGCTTTTGGCATCGATCACGTGGCAAATCGTGAGGGGGGAAACAAGAAAAAGTTGATCTGCCCCTGTACTAAAACCTACATCCAGTTCAAGTTGATCAAGGGGAAGGAACTCACCCTCAGGTGTCTGCCGAGACTAGACAAGCACACAGAAAAAGAGAAGAAATCACCACTTGCACTGAAATTTTCAAGGCAGCTTAACAGTAATTTACATCATTGCCAACATTCTGCACTATCAATCATCAGCAACAAACTCCAAACAAATCTTTATGCAGCTATGTTCTGGCAAATGGGCCGAAATCCCACATAGCTCATGCGGGACATCCATGCATTATTTATAATATACGACTTACTATAATTACCATTCCCTAACTCGTGAGCTTTGGAGAAATGCCTGGTCCAACAATGGCTGTTAGGACAAACTGTGCAACTGAAAGTACATGTGCTACTTCTTGACATAAATTGCTGCATGGGAACCCATTGCAAGCCAGATATTTTCTCAGAAAGCAAATAAGCAGGCAATTCTTATGGAGTTTGTTAAAGCTGAAGAAGGTTGATCAAAATTTAAAGTGAGATTTATTTCATTATTACAAAGCAAAACTTAAGAATTTATTTTCCAGGACTTTTGAAAAGCAACAAATAGATATAAAATAGAAGAGTGAAGATGTTACCATATTAAATTATGTTATGTACACACACAACAGTTCACAGTAAAAATAAAAGGCAGATGCTATTATTTAATGGCTTTCAAACTCCTAATAATAAATTGCATTAAAGTTGTTCACTTCTCTATTTATTTTATGAATTTTAAAGTAGTGTACAAAATTGGGCTAAATTTTAAGACCAAAATGCCATTTAATAATCTATCTTGGATAAACTTATGGTTTATTAAAACTTTCATGAGGCAGCGGCATCCAATATCAATCAGCATAAATCACTGTAAACCTTATTGAAACTTAAATATGCAACTATTTAAAATCAGCAAACCACGAAAGCAAACCTATTTTTATTTTCTATTCATTTTTACTTTATTTTCCGTGTCTGTTACTTATAAGGATCATATATAAACAAATATTAAAGTTTAGTTTATATAATGATGCTTGCTGTTCGTGAAATGGGGCTTGGAAACATTTAACAGGTTCTTTGCAAAGCTAATTCAATGAACAAAATAGAATCACAGAATCTGTTAACAGGTCTGTCCAATGAAGTGGTAGTTGGAAGACAAAATCCTTACTTTCAAAATTCCAAGAAATACATTGGCTTTTTATGTAGAATAGATGAGTGTGAAAACACTGAGAAATGTGCTTTAGGAAGATGTACTCTATTGCAAAACAGAACCAAGAGTTTCAAATTGGTGGGCAATTGTACGGCAGCAAGTGCCACAAAGAGTTTCAAAAGCAGAATTTCAGAGGCTATTTTCTAACTAATGATACTCAGAACTTTTATTTGTGTAGAAAAAAAATCCAAAGAAAATATTGAGACTATTTATCTCCTCTACCTTGTGAGTGGTTCATTTATAAAAAAGACATGAAAGAGATTTCTGATAAGAAAAATCCATGAAAAAAACCTGATAGTGCAAAAATAAAAACAGCAGCTCTACCAACCAATATTAGAGAAAACTGGATATTTCTGGGCTAGAATTCACCTGTGTTTCTGAACCTGTCTTCAACCCAGTAAAATATGGATGAGACCAGCTTCTTTTCAACTACACCGTTGTATAAGTATTGATTAATATAACACAGTAAAAGCCAAAATCAAAACAAAAACCCTGTGTCACTGTTATCTCATCTACTAAGAAACAGGTGCTATATAAACACAAGGTGGTACTCTGATGTTTATAATTGATAAACAGATATTGGTAATTTTATTAACTATTCTAAGCTCTGAATTTTCAGTACTAAATGGAAGTGTTCACAAAGATAATTCTATAAAAACTCAATTTCCCATTTGTTTAAAAAATCATTTTCCCCAAAGAAGATACATTTTTCTAATGATTATATATGTACCTCAAAATTAAATTTCATCTTCCTTTTTTGTATATCTTTGCTATTAAGCCTTTGCCTCATTCTAAAAGCTTTTGAGTAAGTAATTAACTTTTAAATTCACTGATCATCCAACAACCCATGAAAAGAAGTAGCTTAGAAATACCAGGTAGGCAGTCTATCAGGAGAATGCCAACCTAGAGTAAGAAATATTTTGTTTTTAGCAAAGCAGTTTATTCACATATAGGTAATTTAGACTTACATATGCATGGAAATGCTCTATTCAAAGTCCATATACCTTCTTATTTAAAAGAAATCTGTCCTATATACTCAAAATTATACCTTCCCTCCCACCACCACCAATGCTTTATGTCCTATCCAAGTATTGGTAGGAAAAACTTGACACTGTACCTCTTACGTGGCACTGTGGATAAAGTAGTAACATTACATTGCTTTGAAAGATGTTTTCCATGTTTATATATTTTTCAAGTAAGTGAAATTCCCTACGTATTAATTGAAAAGTATTTGCCAGTGGATACTATCTAATTTACCCTTCCTTTAAATGACTCAGAGACTCTATATCCCCAATTTTATCTTCAGGTCTTTATGTTAGACAATCAAATATTTCAACTTTCTTACCTCCTTGATTTTTGTTTGCTTTCTTCACTTATTATAGACTGGGAAACCTATTAATCACTGTGGATTAAATAGAATGCTTTTTTATTTATAAGAGAGGAGGATGCTTGGAGTTGTGGACTTGTTTAAAATCTGAGCTCCTGGTTAGAGCAAGTTTATGTTCTATAAAGTTTATGTTCACTCAAACACCTATGGTGTTCTAGAAACCTACATATGCCTACAGAATACATTTTCATAAGCATAGACTTCTACTCAAGGCTCACAAAAAATTCTAATCTAGGTTTTTCTAATTCTGATGCAATTGCAGGCATTTTCTGGGGCCAAGGGGAAAATGCATAGTTTTAAGTCTCTGGACTTGTATAAGCAGAGTGAGAAATCTTTTGTTCAAGGAACTGTGATATACACATGTATATGAAGAGGAGAGGGAAGGGGAGGGAAGGGGAGGAGAGGGGAGGGGAGGGGAGGGGAGGGGAGGGAGGGGAGGGGAGGGGAGGGAGGGGAGGGAGGGAGAGAGAGGAGAAGGGAAAGGAAAGGGGGAAGAGGAAGAGGAAAGGAAAGGGGGAAGGGGAAGAGGAAGGGGAAAGGGAAGGGGAAGGGGAAGGAGAAGGGGAAGGGGAAGGGGAAGGGGTTATGCATGTCCTTTATAAAATTAAAGCATGATCTCTACCTGGACTATGTAATAAATCAGCAGCATTGATATTCCATTGATATTTCTAATTATCTTATGTAACTATCAATTGGCCCAGAAATTTTGACAATAGGTGTAAGAAATTTTAGATAAAAACCAATTTAATCTTTATTATGTTATCTCTTATGATATATAAGAAGAAATCTTTCTTTTATAGAGCAATTCGTTAATGGTTCAATTGTCTCCTTTAGTTCTTTAAACCTCCTAATTTCAAAGGGAACACAGAACCATGATCATTTTCTAGATAAAATTGTGTAAATAGATATGATGGAGATCAACAATAATTCAAAACAACTGCTAAAGATTAGGATTGATGTAGTAAAGAGTGGATAACTAATGTTGACGTCAATTGATGAAATAATCACTTAGAACTACAAAACTACTGAGTAAACAGGAAAGTGAGAAAAAAGTGAAAAGAAATTCATCGGAATTTGGAAATTCTTAAAAATTCAGAACATAATTTGAAAACAATAGGACCAGAGTTGGCTTTAATACAACTTCTATTTTCAATTATATAGAATTTTTGGAAGGAAATAAAAACTTTCCTCCATTTGAAAGGTTTTCTGGTTGACTGAACTATAACAAATGCTGGAAGTTAAAATAAAAATCAAAGAAATCTATAGCTTAAAGTTTGTTTAAATTTACTGCCCAAAAATTATAATTGGGAGACCATGGATTTTTTTAAATGATTGTTTTTACAATTTAGGTTGTGAAAATCATTTCTAAGTTATTTCTCACAAATAATAAGAAAAATATTATTATTTAAAAATAGCATTCCTATGATACAGATTTTAAATTATGTGCAAATGAATATATGTATAGAATTTAAGGCTTGTTGCTCATTTTATCGCCACATGTACTAATTTCAAAGAAGCAGGTAATGTCAAATGACTTTAAACTGAGAGTCCAAAAAGGCCCACACAATAATTAATTACAATTCTGACTATAGCTGGAAAAAGATTCAAGTCAGAGATGACTAGAAGGGACTATCATGATAGTCCCCAATCACATACTTTACTGATAAATGGCTTTTATATTACAAAAAAACCAAAAACAAACAAACAAAAACCTGTTGAGCACTTGTGCAAAGATACACACACAAACACACACACACACACACAACTGGAATACACATTTAGCACTGTCTTGGCATAGCAGATCCACATTTGGCCATCCTCCTTCTGGGAGATTTGTGACCAGTTGTCCACATTCATTCAGCAAGAACACACTTCACCAATACAATCAATCTCATTGCTGCCTTTCTCCCATTTCTCTAACCCATTACTCTGTTCTAATTATAACCACTGTGGTCTGTCCTGGCTCCAAGGGAGGCTTGGGAAATTTTGCATGAAACATTTAGTCACTATCATCTGACTCATGAAATTTACCTCTATCATGTTCTAACGGTTCTCAACCTGTGGGTCGCGACCCCTTTGGCGGTCGAACGACCCTTTCACAGGGGTCGCCAAAGACCATCCTGCATATCAGATATTTACATTACAATTCATAACAGTAGCAACATTACAGTTACGAAGTAGCAATGAAAACAATTTTATGGTCGGGTCACAACATGAGGAACTGTATTTAAAGGGCCAGAAGGTTGAGAACCACTTTGATCCACACCCCATCACCTCCCACAAGTCCCTACTGCAAAAGGGCACTGAAGGCCAGTTGTAGGGAAAGGGAAAGAAAGAAAAGGAAATCAGGCCCAGCTGGAGAGGGTAAACCTGTCTTGCTAATCACCTCCCCAGGATTTCATCAGTAATTTCACTTCTCCTTAAGCGTGTGTGTGTGTGTGTGTGTGTGTGTGTGTATGTGTGTGTGTATGTG